TGGTCTCTCCAGAGGGAGTTGGGCTGGCAGAGGTTTCTTTGGGGTTTGAGATCGGCTAAGGAGATGATCTGCTCGGAGGTCGGAAAGTCTGTGTGGCGCCTTCGCCCCGGGAACGCTGTGGGGTTTGGAGACTGCTCGGAAGTCCTTAGCTGTAGACTCACAGCACCAATTACCAGCCTGGCTAGTGTTAGCCCCTAATCCTTGTCAGAGGCCAAGCGGAGCCATCCCCCCCTCTCAGATCCCTCCCCCATATTTCCCGTTGGATACGGGGTTCCCTGCCATTTCTTGTGCTCAGCTGGTGTGTCTTTCGGGCAGCTGCCTTGCAGTGACGGTGCTGGCTGTGACTCGGGTGACCAGATGTCCCGATTTTATAGGGACTGTCCCCATAGTCGGCGCTTTTTCTTATATGGGCGACTATTACTCCCCACCCCGGTCCCGATTTTTCACACGTGCGATCTGGTCACCCCAGCTGTGACTTTATGCACATGGGCGCCGTGCCCGGGTCACTGAGACCAGAGTCTGCCCCTTGGCGTGTAAAGAAATTGGGGGGCTGGTCACAGAGCTTGGCGTGAAAGGGGCTGTCAAGAGCTCAGGCCAGCAGGGGCGGGAGGGTAGCCACAGAAGCGGAGTTGGCTGGTCAGCCTGCCTGGGCATGGCGTCCCTGATGACCTTCCCGGGGCGGATGGAGGGTCCTGCTGGAGTTGCAGGGCCGAGGCTGGGGTTCGGCAGGAGAACGGGGAAGCTGAGCTGAGCGGCCTGCTGTTGCCTCCATCCAACGGCTGAGCTCCTGCAGCCCGGCCTTCCCCCTTGGGCTTGGGGGTCGGAGGGGCTGGTTGGCTCTCCAGGGTTGGCTGACACACCTCCTGGCTCTGCCTTCGAAGCCCAGAGCTGGGGGGAAGCTGCGAATCACCCCAGCTCGGCTTAGCTTGCCTGGAGACCTGGTTCTCTGGCAGCCGCCCCAGCCCCGTGCCAGGGCTTGGGGGCAGGGAGAAGCGGCCACCTTGGTGCGTTTTCTCCATGAGGACGTTGATTGTTCAATGGCTGTTGCTTGTGAGGTGCCCAGAAGGGCACAGGCTGA